TGGTGGTGGCGGCGGCGGCGGCGGCGGCGGTGGTGCAAGGCATGGTGGTGGGGTGCTAATAGTGGTGGTGAAGAGATCGGGTGTTGTTAATGGTGGTGGTGGTGATGGTCGTGGTTGTATTCGGTGGTGGGGGGAGGAGGGAGAAGCTGGAGGCAGTGACTATGGTTGCGGTGGTGGCAGCAATGTCGTGGTGGTCGCAGCCGCTCCCGCGGAAGCGGCGTCGGGAAACCGGGCCCCTTGCGGAAGAGGTGCGACCGCGCACTAGCGCTAGCGAACTCACGAACAACCTTCGCAAAGCAGCGCATGTTGTGGCACTGTCCACAGCAATAACCATCCGACGCGACACGATGCTTTGAAGAATATGTGGTGAAACGCTCCCTCGCAAAAATATCGCAGGAAATTTCCTACCCTGTGAGATCTTGTCTGACCGGGTGACGCTCCATCTATGGAAATGACACGCGACGACCTTTAAGGCATTGAAAAAATCCACTATTGTCATCTAAATATCGCTTAAATAACGAAGACCAGTAAGAGAATTGAATTGAATTGAATTGAATTAATGCCTTGTTTTACGTGGCGAGACTCAGGCCATTCGGTCTGCTCTTCCGTTTGACCACGCAAATATTGCTACGCTCCTTTCACCAACAAGCAGAGAAATGAGGTATTTCTTGGGCGAGAAACAGGCGATTTGAATTTAGCTCAGAGGCGTCATTTAGGATTGAGGATCTTTTACATGCAAGTAAATATACAAACATGGGACAGCCGGCTTTACTTCCCCACCGAAGGAAGGCGTACGAAAGATGTTTTCGCAATTAAAAATCCACGGCTTCGATCGGGTCAGCTAACTTGGGTGCAGCAGTCCGAAACGCTAACCGTTACACCATCGCCGCATGCGTTCAGTTACTTCGTGAACTGTTTTGCAACGTACGCTGGAGCCAGTCGAAGCAATAGGCACGTAATACATGGAAAGTCAATTGCTTACATGCACAGACAAAGAATTCTCCTTTTTCTTTCTTTTTATAAAGATCGCAACATTAATGTTTGCAGATTATGTCGAGAGAAGAACGCCTATCTCGCGGCAAGGAAATTAAAATAATAATATTGCCATATAATACGTACTTAACCTGCACGAAGAACGAGAATATTTTGATTATATATGTCATCAAATAATTTCGAATTATATTTAATCACATTCTAATAACTTTACAATAATGCAGTAGTTTTACGTTAAACAATATTACAATAGTACATTATTCGCATATATTTATTTATGTACATAAAATAATTTCATTGGTTTGGTTACATTGGTCTGTTATTCGTCTTAATAGGAATTTTTTCGCTTCAAAAGTTTAATTTTAAAAATGTTAATTTTGCACAGTGTCACCACGTAGATTTCATAAAAATAATTTATTTAATTCACATACTTAATGCCGAGGAAGGAGATAACTCACCCTTCCCCGCAGGGTCGCGACAACCTTAGTGCAAACGGTGCACCTTACAAGGGCGACATATGTGAAAGGGTGACAAAAATTACGAAGTCTCGCCACGTAAAATAAGGCAAATTCAATTCAATTCAAAAAAAAATTCATTTTCTTTTAAACTTCTGCAATAATCTTTTAAACATCTGCGTTAATCTTTTTAAAATCTACAATAATTTTAAGAAGCACAAAACAGAACACGGCGGGCGACAAACAAGCATTTGCTCACGTGCGCAAATTCGCTGCCTCCCCGATCTACTTACTTCCCGCATGGGCGTGACCACCAAATGCACGACATATGTGACGGCGACGTATGTGAAAGGGTGACAAAAATTCGTTTTTTTAAACATCTGCATTATTTTTACGAAGCTCAAAACAGAACACGGCGGGCGGCAAACAAGCATTTGCTCACGGGCGCAAATTC